CTTTCTTTTCCAGTTTCCACTCTTCTTCCTTCATCCAAGTAGGCTTAAATGTAAGTTATTTTTCTGCTAGCATGTATACTCTCTAGGACTGCATCTAATTCACCACGATCCAACTCACCACCACAAACCCACCCACCCATTTCTGTCTCGTCGAGTCCATTGCTGAGGCTGACCCGAGTTTCCCCAGCAAACACCATAAGGTATTGATGCATCCATCTTGAGGTTTTAAATTCTTAACTTCAGTCACTCTGTATTCCGGGGTTTGGCGGTATGATGGGGAAAAGCAAATGTCTGCTTTCCAGATATGGTACACAAGAGTCGCATCATGCAAAGAAACATTTTCTTTAGACAGCTAACACTGAATGAGATGGATAGCTAGAGAGACGGGCGGACATGCTGATGTCCAGACCGAAATACTATTTTCTCTGTGTGTGTATTTTTTTTTCTTTCTCCTTTTTAACTTCGTCTCTTTCTTCCGACCTGTCTTTCTTTCTCACTCGTTGAATTATGCGGCATATCTAAAAGTTTGCCAAAGTAATCAATCCAATGCGACAGAAGACCCATCTATGTCCGAGTGGGGCTGCAGTGACTGGTTCGTGTCTCAAGGGACAACAACATCGGTACCGCCCTACTGTGATTCAACGGCACACGCAATGCTTGTCAAATGACATTCCACTTTTTTTTTTCTTGAACCAACCGCTTGTGATTTTTAAATGTCGTGTTTTATTTTTATTTCCTTCATTCTCTGATGTTTTCTGAACAATGAGATTTTACCTTAACTTTGTATTGTCCTACATTCAGCACTCATTTTTTTCTCAACTTAAGGGTACCATATGTTTCCACCTCTAGTTCTGAAATGTGTTTCCTATATAAGTTATACAGTAATCATTTTTTTTATCGAATGTGAAAAAAAAAGGAAGGGCAACATTTCTTAATAGATAAAGAATATTTTTTAAAAAGGAACGCTGAAATGTTTCTTAACTATTCTTTTGAACATAACGAATTTAATAGCTAACCCGTTTCGATAGGAGTTAAGAAATAATCTGTTCCGTTTTGGGGACGCACCGGGCAATAATCCCAGCGCCTTCCCAAAGGAGTGGTAATGATGGCTTCATTTGGGGCTTAAGCTAATGTTGAAACTTTTTTTTTTTTTTTTTTTCAAGACGAGAAAAGATAAAAGATGAGGGTTCAGGAAGAGACAAGATGGCTATAGGCGTTACATTTAATTTTTTTGAAAATTGTAGTAGCAGGGTAACAAAAAATCGGAATATTTAAATTTCAGTATAGAAAATTGACAAGAATATGGAGGAGGAAAATCAGCTTTCAAATGAAGTACAGATTGTACAAATCACTGGTAGTCTCCATTCTCTTATATGGATATGGAACGTGGACCCTGTTGGCAGATACAGAGAGACCGATCCAATCCTTTGAGAACAAATGCATATAGAAAACTACTTGATATTTTCTATAGGGAACAAAACACCAATGAATTTGTGCGAAAAAGGGTTGAAAGTTTTGTTGGTCACCAGGAACCTCTTCTCGCCATTGTCAAACGGAGAAAAATGGCGTGGTTATATTAAAAGTCACGACAGCCTGTGCAAGACCATCATGCAAGGCACCGTTTAATTTTTTTTTTATTTTCAAATTCATGCATTTTAATTCCATTTAAGATTTAATTTAAACGGCTAATCTTTAAGCCAAACATTAATATTTTTTAAATTTAATCATTAATCTTGTTTGCAAGTCAAACACTGCATTTATTGCCATTGAAAAAGTTAGACATAACACGTATTATTTCCCATCAGCATGGCCTTCTCGAAGTAACGTTTTCATGAAGTGGAAAGACCACATTGAATCAATCGTTAAGTCAACTATTCGTCAATGCTTTTGCTGCCACATTTGGACTGGTACTTCTGCTCTACATTTAGGGATTCTAGATAAAATCCAAATAATCTGCAATGCTACTGGTACTGACCTGGCATCTCGACTTCAGTCATTTCCTACCGCCGTAACGTTGTTTTCCTGTGCCTTTTCTGTATATACTTCCATGGTAATTGTTCTGACGAGCTTTTCTCTATGGTACGTAGATACTATGAATTTAATCGCAGTACTCGATTGGTGGCAAGGTTTCAATATTTATCAGTTGAAATGGCGAGATATAACCGTAAGTTCTATGCTAATAGTTTCTTCTATGGCGTATCTCAGTTGCAGAATTCTCTTCCGGCTTCTTGCACCCACAGTCAAGTTTTATCTTCAAAAATTTTAAATGCAATATCAATCGTTATCTTCTCTCTTCTTAATTATTGTTCTTTTATTGTCTTCTCTCCTTAATATTAGTTTTTTCTCATATTCTCTAAAACTCAGTAACCCCTTGCATCTTGGTGGCTTTATTGTCTTGCTTGGGGGTGATCTGATTAAAAAATTATTTGCTTAACAATTAAATAGAAAGTTTAACTTAGACGACTAGTGAAAAAATAAATTTCAAATAGCAAATGTTTCAATGATTTTTCAAATAATTTTTATTCGCGTTTTGGTTTTTAAAATTCTTTGTTTGCGAGAAGGAGAAACAAATATTGAAAGAATATATATATATATATATATATATATATATATATATATATCAAAATGCCACCTGGGTGACGTGGCTTTTAAGGAGATCGGGTAAACAACACGCGGAACAATCTCGCTAATCCGGTGTTTCTGTTTGGCCAAACGTCCTTTTTGCTATGAAATCCAGCGTTCCCTCGAGAGTTCGACCCCTTTTAACCAATACAGCATCTTTCATGAAAAGTCAGTAAGTAGCATTTTTTATCGAGACTGGAATGGATGGGAGCTTATCACTCAATAAATTCGGCACGTGTAACGCTTATAGACACACACACACACACACACACACACACACACACACACACACACACACACACACACATCTGCTCTTAGAAAATGCGACCATAGAAGAACTCGCAAGTTGCTTTCGAAATATTAGACAAAGCAGATCTTCGTTTGTTTTGGAGCGAATTCAATGCTGTTAAGCGAGGTGCATGCATTCTAAACGATTATACATTCGGGCAGGCCGATCTAGTCACGTTCTCTGAGGGCATGAATTTTTAATGTCCCTCGCTGCCTTACTCCTCTGCCCTTTCGGTCAGTTACTTTTAAGTCGTCCCGCCAAGCTGCTATGCGCGGCGAAAACAATGGACACTGATGTAATTAACATGCCATAACTTATCTAAGTGATTTATTTTATTTTATTTTTTACTTACAGCTGTGAAAATGGCTCCTCTTACAGACAAAACTTTATTAATATTAATTTACGTTCCTATATGTATGCTGATGTAGACGGGTAAAATGTAAAAACTCTCATCAAAACCAGTTGTAATAACACCACTATACACAGTTTCCACACTTGGTCTGATGATCGTCTAACGCATAAAACTACTAGTTACGAAGAGAGTTCTCGGTATTGAGTATAGAGCGTTTTTCCCCATCCAACACTGTCCTCAGAACAAGTGTATGTTGATTGTATTGAAACGAGAAACTGCCAACGTCGCATGGTAAACTTCTGGGTGAACAAACAGGATGTCATCTTTGACAGTGACCAGCTCATGTAACCACTATGATGATGACTCATATGAGCCGAAACCTTAGATCGACGACCAATATAATAAAGAAATATGCAAATGTTGGACAGTTTTTGTCTTTATTTTCTCTTGATACTAAAGTCATTATACGACGCCTAGAACGGCTCATGATAAAACATACATATTCGTTTTTATATCATATTTAAAAATGTTTTTTATATATATATATATATATATATATGTGAACATAGAAGTCAACGCCTCTAAGTGTTGACATCTATGTTCACTTTTATATTTACACACGCTCTATCTCTGATATTGAGCACTTTATCCCATAAATATAGCACACCTTAAGACTATATTTCTTATATATAATAAAAATTTTATTTCTGCGTACATGTTTCCTTATATTGTTTCATGTTTATACAAGTCTTGTTTGTGTTTTTATCTCTTGACTGTTGTTTCAGGCCTTGCGTGTGTTTGTCTGTTAGTCTATCTTAGCCTGCAACTTAGCTTTCTTCGCCTGGATATTGTTAAGAAAACACGGTGAGAAATTCACATATTTCATTCTTGTTTACTTGTACACGCGCACATACAACATGAAAAACGAAGACGTGTACAAAGGCATCAGAATAAATACTGTTTTTTAATAAGTCGTCATTAAATTCTTCTTTTTCTCCTCCTCTTTCTGGTCATTTTCTTGTTTCCCTTTTCTTATTCCGTTTTCTCCTCCTCCTCCTCCTCTCCTCTTCTTCTTCCTCCTCTCCTCTTCTTCTTCCTCCTCTCCTCTTCTTCTTCCTCCTCTCCTCTTCTTCTTCCTCCCCTCCTCTTCTTCTTCCTCCTCTCCTCTTCTTCTTCCTCTTCTTCCTCTTCTTCTTCCTCTTCCTTCCTCTTCTTCTCCTTCTCCTCTCCTCTTCCTCCTCCTCCTCTCCTCTTCCTCCTCTTCCTCCTCCTTCCTCCTCTCCCTTCCTCCTCCTTCCTTCCTCTCCTCTTCCTCCTCCTTCCTCTTCCTCTCTTCCTCCTCCTTCCTTCCTCTTCCTCTTCTTCCTCCTCCTCCTTCCTTTTCTTCCTCCTCCTCCTTCCTCTTCCTCTCCTTCCTCTTCCTCTTCCTCTCCTTCCTCTTCCTCCTTTACTCCTGTAATTTTTCTTTCCTCTTCTCCTGTAATTTTTCTTTCCTCTTCTTCACATTTTTTTTCTTTCTCCGACGTCTGTTACACGAATTGCTTCAATCTTTGTTTTCATACTTTGCTATTGTTTTACTTTTTAAACATTTTACAATTGTCTTGTTTCTTTTTCTTTTCTTTTTTTCCTTTCCTCGTAAGCCATCACGCATCTATTAGATCCATATTAACTGACGCGTACTAGCAAAATGACGGATATTCTTTTCGGGTATTTGTTTGCTATTGCGTGTAAGTACACCCGTTGAAAATATTTCTGTTTACTTCGGCTATAAAGAGATTTCTTTTCACTTTTCATTCGTCACCGTCTTCTCGAAAAACATTTGGTCTTTTACAAAATTCTGCCGTAATTAACTTCTTAACGTATAACAACCTATCATCGCCACGCATTCTTACAATTGCTTCAAAGTTTGGTTTTTTGTTGTTTTTTTTTTCTGCTAAAATAGGGCGGGTTGAAATGGATGTGCTAACACCATTCTGCCTTCAAACTCACACCAAAGCAAACAAAAAATAGAGAGCCGAAAATTTAGTGCCTGTCTCCATAGAGGTATCGATGGAAAAAGGTACGAAACTCTCTCTTAATCCACTAGGCTTTGGGTTAAATAGAGGTTACAGTGAGTTCTGTAGCCTAGGTTTGGCAGCGCATTTATGACAATGAAAAAACTGAATTCAGAAACAGGATAATGCAACAGGGAAATATAACTACTTAAAAAAATTACTGTACTAAGTTTTTAATTTCCCTTTTATGTTTTTTTTTAATTTCCCTTGCTTGTTTTTTGTGTTTTTATAATTCCCCCCTTTTAAGTTTTGTTTTAATTCCCATCCCTTTTTTTTTTTTTAATTCCCCTTTTGTGGTTTTTAATTCCCCCTTTTTGTTTTTTTTTTTAATCACCCCCCTTGTGTTTTTTTTAATTTCCCTTGCTTTTTTTTTTTTTGTGTTTTTTATAATTACCCTTTTAAGTTTTTTTTTTAATTCCCCCCCCCTTTTGTATTTTTTTTAATTCCCCTTTTTGTGTTTTTTTTTTTAATTTCCCCCTTTTGTGTTTTTTTTTTTAATTTGCCCCTTTTTTGTTTTTTTTTTAATTTGCCCTTTTTTTTTTTTTTCCCCCTTTTTTTTTTTTTTAATTTGCCCTTTTGTGTTTTTTTTTTTTTTTTTTTTTAATTTGCCCTTTTTTTGTTTTTTTTTTAATTTCCCCTTTTGTTTTTTTAATTTGCCCCTTTTGTTTTTTTTAATTTGCCCTTTTGTTTTTTTTTTTTGCCCCTTTTTTTTTTTTTTTTGCCCTTTTTTTTTTTTTTTTTTAATTTGCCCCTTTTTTTTTTTTTTTTTTAATTTGCCCTTTTTTTTTTTTTTAATTTGCCTTTTTTTTTTTTTTTAATTTTTTTGTTTTTTTTAATTTTTTTTTTTTTTTTTGCCTTTTTTTTTTTTTTTAATTTGCCCCTTTTTTTTTTTTTTTTTAATTTGCCCCTTTTTTTTTTTTTTTTTAATTTGCCCCTTTTTTGTTTTTTTTTTAATTTGCCCCTTTTTTTTTTTTTTAATTTGCCCTTTTTTGTTTTTTTTTTTTAATTCGCCCCTTTTGTGTGTGTGTTTTTTTTAATCGCCCCTTTTGTGTGTGTGTTTTTTTTAATCGCCCCTTTTGTGTGTGTGTTTTTTTTTAAATATCCCCTTTTGTGTGTGTGTGTTCCCCCCCCCTTTTAGCCATTTTAAAAATTTCCCAATTATGTTAAATTTGGTTTCTTTTATTAATATTTTGATTTCAGGTATTGTTTTTATACCAGATCTTTTCAAGGACGTAGGTTCAATATCTTTCCACAGCTTCCTTTTCTTTAATGTTTGTATTGCCATTCGTGTTTTTGGGAAATAAACTGTTTCCCGTTGCCTTCTTTATGGTTTTAAATTCAAAGTTTTCATTCTCTTAGGCTGGTTGCCACCTAAGGACGCAGAGCTTGGTTTGCACAACTATTTTAATCCATATTTGATATGGAGAAGAGAGGGTTTCATACATTATCGTAGTTAAAGCAATAGATCAGAACGGAACTTAAACACCACACTTTCCACTTTTTTTTATTTTTAAGTTTTCAAATATTAAAAGAAGCTGCACTTCTTACAGTCATACAACGTTATCATTTAATAAGTTTCAAGCTTGAGTGGCTCTTGGGGCTTTTATTGGATGAACATTAAAACATAGGAAATAGTAGTGAACAGCGCTCACCTAAAACCCAAATAAAAATATATATATAGCTTTTTCAATCTGAGGAAATTGTAGTAGCCTGTCGAAAATCACAGCTTAAATGTAACTCGTAACTAAACAGCGCATGCGTGTTTTATGGGCCCTCGTTTAGGTAAGGTTCGGGTTGTGCTTTTAGGTTAAGTTTTCCCTCGATCCTCTTCGCACACATGTGTTAGTCGTTCGCCACTCAGTGAAGCATTGAGTGGGTTATTCTAGCTAACGAGCTGAAGGTATTGTGAAGTGGCGTTGCTGATGAAAGTACCTTGTTTGTTTGTCTATATTCGGTTGGGGAAGTGTCTGGATCGGGGTAAGGGACAGTTTTTGCGGTAATTAGATCCTGAAGGCGAGCTTAGTTTTCTGACAGGGGCGGCGGCGGCGAAAGAACTGGAGAAGAAAGATGACCTAACCTGATATGCTCCGACATAACATTGTAATGCGCCATACGACTTGTTAACACGCTCGACTTGTCGGCGAATTTCGGTTCTTACGTGACACCCTAAGAATGCGGCATTACACTGGACACGGCTTGGGACCCAGAAAATTGGGACCCCATTCAAAGTTTTTATCATTTCATCCCAAGAAAGGCAATAAAGCCACTAAGATGCAAGCGTTTATCGAGAGTAAGTAAGGTCATAGAACTTACGGTGGCATCTAGACATTTAAGCTTAAAATTGATCCCTATCTATAACGAGTGTGTAACGAATGCACGGCCGCAATTTTCGACGGATTTGCACCAAAATTTACATGCACATGCTCCAAGTTAGCGGAAAGGCCAACACCGACGTTGCATTTCCCAACTCACACCGATAGCGGAAATAATCGATTTTTTCATGTAGTTTGCGGCCATTTTCCACTGGCCAGAGTGAGAGCCAATAGCTGGCTGCCACGAATAGGCAGGAAGATTCTATTGGCCAGCGTAGGAGCCAACAGCTGACTGACATGAATGTTAACTAGCATGCTAGAGTGCAAAAAACTCGGTAGCTGCATTCGTCACAAGTGGGGAAAAATTTAAATCTGCATGGCACTTTACTCCAATTGGCTCATTCGCTTGCTTAAACTCAACGTTGATTCTGATTCCGCAGAACTGGGTTGGGTGTGGAAAAGTATTTGTTGTTAACATTCTTTTTTCATTCGGTTTTTCCAGTTACTAGTCCTTTTAAAGCTGATCGTTTTGTGTTCATTTTGTTTAGTTCTTTTTTCGTAATAGATTTAATGTTTAGTATAGAGCTTAGAAAAAATTCGCTGTGTGAGATAGGCAAGAAGCAAGGCATGTAGCAACATCAGCACGGCAAAGGGCACTCCTTTAAAGGCAAGGAAGGGCAAAAATATTTTAAGTCAAGTGATAGCGTTTGCTGTATGAGTCGTACGATTTTTGAATCAAGCACGGGCAACGCCGGGCCATGCTGCTAGTGATACATAAGTGATAATCTAGCCAGTTTAGTGCCTTACCTGATACAGATTTAAAGGATTATGTCTCTCTCGATCTATGACTGACTAGTCAGGGGAATTTGCCGCCGTAGATTATCATTTCTTTCTGTCATTCTAGTACAATGCGTACATTTGTAAAGCCGAAGTACCAAAGAGAAAAGATCCTCAAAACAGTTACCATGAAAGTATTTATAACAAAATGTACAGGGAAGTTATGCTACAGTAACGAGGAAATATTTGAAGCTGAGATGCCAGGTCAGGATCAATTATATTACTGATACTTTAGATATTATCATGGATCTCTAAATGCATAATAGAAGCACCAGATCAATTGTGAAGGAATGGTAGATTTTTAAATGTATAACCTACATTCTAACGCGACAGTACGCCAAAACTTTCCTAGCAGCAATCCTAGCAATTGATTCAGATGACAGAACGGTTACGATGAGAATCAAGTGAAATTAAGGCAAAGGAAATAATACAGGGTTCTCAGTATAAAACAGGCGAATTTATTATCACTTCTATTTCTCAAATATAATTGACTTTGAAAGAGTTTGAATATTCATGACGATGAATAATCATTCAGCTCTCGCCTAATTACTTAAGTCTGATTCGTTCTTTTATGATTGATAAATTACTGATCGATCTTTTGACTCGTCATTTAAAAGTTATTTGCAGACAACTTTCTTTTTGCCCTTCTCGTATGGCTAAACAACTCACTGATTTTGAGCGTCAAGTTATCGCACTTTTCAAAGAACATCCAACGTGGAGATTGAAAATGTGCAGAAATTCTTCTTGAATTTTTCAGTCGCATCAGTCGTCGCCAGTTTTCAACGGTTGGCTCACGTCTTTCTGAATTTGCCGCGTTTTTAATGAGCAACCTGTAGAATTTTTACATAAGAATTCAAGGAAAATATCCCCAATGCATCAAATAATATATCAATATAGTTGCCTCTTGAAGAATAAACAATTAAAAGAGGTTTAACGATGTTTACAGATGAATTCTACCTTTTCAATTTTTTTTTATCCTAATGAGATTGGTTGATGCTTTCTATTACGAAATTGTCACTTTGTTTTTTTTCTCAATCATTCTTGTACCAATACCATTCCCACCTCATGGCTTGATGAAATTTACCGAATATAGCAAAGATTTATTTTGGTAATGATTATTTAGAGCAAAATTCTCGGTAAACAAAATCAATTTACCAATTAAAGATAGACCGAAAGACATTTGGTGATTGTTCTGAAAGAGACGTTTGAGGATTTCTTATTTTTACAAAATTCGAAAAGATTAAAACACTTAGTATTAATTAGATTTTCTTCTTTTTTTTCCTTTTTCTTTTTTTTCTTTTTTTTTTTTAACCTATATCTGTAAGTATTCTCTCTCTCTCTCTCTCTCTATATATATATATATATATATATATATATATATATATATATATATATATATATATATATATATATATATCTCTCTCTGTATGTATATATATATATATATATATATATATATTTTTCTATTTTTCTTGTCACCTTAATGCAGCACTATGGGAATCTGGTAAACAAGTGCTTTTTTTTGTTTTACCTCAAGCAAGGCGATAATGCCACTAAGACGCTATCCTCTCTCTCTCTCTCTCACACACACACACACACACACACACACATTGTTTGCCAGGTTTCCACCTAGTCTAAGTCTGCACTAGCTGACTTGTGGGGATTGAAATCACCATTATTGCCCTAAAAATCATGAACTAACACCATGGAACAATCCGGAATCTAAAATTGGAAAATTTAAAACTGACTTGTGCTAGTTTTTTTTGTTTGCCTTGTTTTTTGGGGTTTTTTGTTCGATTTTATCGTGTTTTTTTTTTTTTTTTGTTGTTTTTTTTTCTTTCATTTCTTTACGTTTTTTTTGTTTGTTTCTTATCGATTTCAGTGCTTTTTTTATTTTATTTTTCTTCTTCTTTTTCTTCTTTTTTTTCTTTTTCTTCTTCTTATTTTTTTTTTTTTTTTTTTCCCAAACCCTCTTTTCTAGCATGTGAAAGATTACAACAGTCATCATTTTGCTTTCCTCTAATTAATGCATGTATGGTAATCTCGGATTTTAAAGGCGAGACAATTTGCCTCTTTCGCCCTTATTGAATTCTCTATTTCCCCAAACTGGGAATATCAATTGTCGTTGATCAATATTTGCGACTCTGTGTAAGGTAACATATTTACAATGTAAGCTTTCTTTTTCCTTTTTTCTTCTTCTTCTTCGCTATCCTTCCCTCATTCGTACGGACACTCTAATTATAAATAATGCTGTTATCATTTAAGTACGCATGCACACTCTGTGTAGGGGCTTCATTTCGAAATTCTAGAATGTTCGAATTCATCATCAATTGTGGATGGCTGCCGATGATGAAGCTCTTGTCGCCTGATATCATAAATCTGATTTCTTTATCATTTACTCTCTTGAAAGGAAATGGGTGTCTGCGTGCAGAGGAAGGTGATTTTCTCTATCTCTCTTTCTCTCTCTTTTTTTTTCTCTCTTTTCTCTTTTCTCTCTTTTTCTCTTTCTTTCTTTCTCTTTTCTTTTCTTTCTCTCTTTCTCTTTTCTTTTCTCTTTCTCTTTTCTTTCTCTCTTTTCTTTTTTTTTTCTCTTTTCTTTTTCTTTCTCTTTCTTTTTTTCTTTCTTTTCTTTCTCTCTTTTCTTTCTCTCTTTTTCTTTTCTCTTTTCTTTCTCTCTTTTCTTTTCTCTTTTTCTTTCTCTCTTTTCTTTCTCTCTTTTTCTCTTCTCTTTTTCTCTCTCTCTTTTTCTCTCTCTTTTTTCTCTCTCTTTCTCTCTTCTCTTTTCTTTCTCTCTCTTTTCTTTCACTATTTTCTTTCTCTCTCTTTTCTCTCTCTCTCTTTTCTCTCTCTCTTTTCTCTCTCTCTCTTTTCTCTCTCTCTTTTCTCTCTCTCTCTTTTCTCTCTCTCTCTTTCTCTCTCTCTCTTTCTCTCTTTCTCTCTCTCTCTCTCTCTTTTCTCTCTCTCTCTCTCTCTCTCTCTCTCTCTTTCTCTCTCTCTCTCTGGTCAGTTTACAGCTTAAGTATATTTCTAAAGATTTAAAACTATCACACCCAGGACCACTCTGCCTAAGATTTCCTACCGCCTGTAGCGACCACTCCTACCCCATTGATCCATGTCCTCATCTCACTGTCTCCGACGTGTTTACCATGCATCAGCCACTAAATCTCTCTCTCTCTTTTGTCCATTACCCATCTTGCCCGCCCCCTGTGCCTATGGTCTTTTGCTTGATTCTCATTAACCCCGTCACGTCCTGCCGATCTCTTCTCCTGCAAAAAGATGGAATACTTCCAATTCACCTTTTTGTGCACTCATCAGTTCTTCTTCTCTGGCGCTGCTGGGGTGGGGGTGGTTTTCACACGTCGGTCGCTTTCCTCTCCTCTTCAAGGTTCGTAAAACTTGAATCTACTTGAAGATTTTTCCTTTTCCTTCGTGGTCATTGTCACTCAGTCTGCATCTAGTCTTTCCTGTTCTTCTTTCGTGAAAAGAAAATTCCATTCTTCGAGTTTCTTATGTGTGAATTCTACCAAAGTCTCTTTTGAAGCATTACCACTGATTCTCAACGTCTGTAGACTTTTTACTACCAGACTGGCTCATAACTTATGATGATGATGGAATGCAAATCATTTGAGTCTATCAAATGGAACAAAACTAGTCACAAGAGTTTAACCTACTGATTCTAGTCTTCCTACGTATTCTAAGGTTTTGTTGTTTTCTCTTTGTAGTCTTCATAATTATACTTCCCCTATTTTTCTCTTTCTTTTTTCCTTTTTTTTTTTTTTTTTTTTTTTTTTTTTTTTTTTTTTTTTTTTTTTTTTTTTTTTTTTTTTCGCTCTTTTTTTATTTTTTTTTTTTTTTTTTTTTTTTTTTTTTTTTTTTTTCGCTCTTTTTTATTTTATTTTTTCGCTCTTTTTTATTTTATTTTTTTTCGCTCTTTTTTATTTTATTTTTTTTTTTCGCTCTTTTTTTTTTATTTTTTTTTTTTCGCTCTTTTTTATTTATTTTTTTTTTTTCGCTCTTTTTTATTTTTTTTTTTTCGCTCTTTTTTATTTATTTATTTATTTTTTTCGCTCTTTTTTATTTATTTTTTTTTTCGCTCTTTTTTATTTATTTATTTTTTTCGCTCTTTTTTATTTATTTATTTTTTTCGCTCTTTTTTTTATATTTTTTATTTTTTTTTTTTTTCGCTCTTTTTATTTTTTTATTTTTTCGCTCTTTTTTTTTTTTTTTTTTTTTATTTTTTTTTTTTTTATTTTTTTTTTTCGCTTTTTTTTATTTTTTTTTTTTTCGCTCTTTTTTTATTTTTTTTATTTTTTTTTTTTTCGCTCTTTTTTATTTTTTTTTTTTTTTTCTCTTTTTTATTTTTTTTTTTTTATTTTTTTTTTTTCGCTCTTTTTTTATTTATTTTTTTTTTTCGCTCTTTTTACTCTCTTTCCTTTTTTTTTTCTTTTTTTCTCCTTTTTTCACTCTTTCGCCTTCATATGGACTATTGTCTTTTAATTTGCTCTTCCTTTTTTCGAAATCTAGATTTTCGACTTATTTTCCGGGTAGACTTGTTTGTTTGTCTGTTTATCTACTGAGAGACCCAACTATTTAATTTGTTTTTCGAGCGTGAATTTTTGACACCTTGTTTATGATTATTCCAGCATTAGACTTGTCATCTTACGAATAACTCATATACAATGGGTCCATAATAAATGATCTGCTCAGTTTTAAAAATTCGCGTAAAATAACACTCAAGGGTTTGTCAAGAAAATTGCACAATGCCTAACCATACGTGCGGCAATATCTCCTCATCATCGGCGTTTTTGGTGTGGGGGGGCGTCATTGAGGTCATTACGAACAGCCACGTTCTCAATAAGGTGATTCACCATCCTGTTGGTAAATAACTGTTAGTTGCAATTGGTGTAACTGTGGTGCAATAAATTCTTGTTAAGGATCAAGGTAACTCTAATAGATTCAATAAACTGTTGAAGTTCTGCAGGTAATTTATGAACAGCCTGTATAATTTAATTAAGTTAGGGATGGAAAGAAAATCTTTTGAGTTTATGAAAGTGAAAAAAAAAAGAAATAATACTAAAATCACAGGTGTTTAGCCTACATCTGCTTCTTACATTATTGTTGTCGTAAAACATTTTAATTCTTTTCCAATAGTTGAGTTGCTGCAGGTATTCCTTTTCACGTTGCTACTTTGGCTTGTTATCTACAAGGAGAAGAAATATGTACATTGTACAAATTTTAATTGGGAATGATATCTACATTACACACACACATCATTTAAACGTAATGATAGCTACAGTTTTTGCCTTAGTTTCACCCATGATGATCTCCTATTCTCCATGTATAATACGCGTTTTTTCTTAAAAAAAAAAAAAAAATACAGCAAAATTAGGGGTGCTTATTATGTACAGCTGCAAAAAATCGTTTCATAGGTCAATTTCAATTGCTAAATGTCTACTCACCACTAACATACGACAATTTGACACTAACATTCGGCGATTGCGACCCCATAAGGATGGTACCTAACAATATTTACAAATGTAAAATAAAATAAGAATTATCATAAAACTAAATTAGAATATTATTCTATGTTTAAAACCATTTTTTAAATAAGAGTAGGAAACGCTGGCCGTAATGAAATTGGAGAGGTAAAATTTACAAGGTTTGATTACCAAACAAGTGTTGCGTATTATGCGTGAGTAGAAGCATTTTCCAACAGTTATACATGGAGAATTACGGTAAATGATTCTCACTGTTACAGTGCATTTCTTGCCTTATTTAATTGCAATATACGGAAAAATATTCGTGAATATGAAAGGATTATGATAAAAATAAGCAGGCATAACGTTTGTAATTATTCAGACGTGCCTAAAAGAGAATTTGCTGCTTAAATACACACACACACACACACGTGTGTGTGTCGTTAGGCAGGAAATGCCACTTGATTGCTGACAGTTTTGACGTGTATTAGTTTGTGCTATAACGCTGTTAAGTTGCATACTATCTTTCAAACCTTTCCAGCCTTTAGCAAAGATCGATTTTCCTATCTTCAGAATAGTTCTGTATATATATATATATATATATAAATTTCAGGGCCGTTGTGATGCGTTATACATAGGACGAGGCCAATCAGAGGCAGGAAACACTCATAACTCAACGCATGCCTTCCTGCCTATTTGGGTTCTAATGGTCAGTCATATGTAAAGAACCACTCAGTCCTTCGACTGGGCAACATTTATTGGACAATCCTAACCGTGCCACCGAATAAAATGACAAATTATTTTCAATCTTAATTAGAACTTCGCCTAAACTCTGACATTTTACTGTTTTTTTTCCTTCTAAAGGTTTCTCATTCGCTTTCAATCCCAGTTGCTCCCTTGCATCTTGGTGGCATTATCGCCTTGCTTTGGGGTGAATTGATTTAAAAAAAAAAAAGAAAAAATAACTAAGAAAATGATATATTATTTTCAGGGAAATGTAACTGTAAATTCTTGCACGAACTAAGATTAAGTTATATAGACAATTAATTAGTTAAAATTTAATTGCCCAAAATCTTTCTTAATTAAGTTCCATGGAAATTCATATTATTTCTGATGTTGAGGATTCCGTTTTTGTTTTCTTTTTCTTTAAAACTTCTCCAATGTGTACATGCCGTCTTGGGTATGACGATAAACTACATCTGGCAGCAAGATCGGGAGGTTTTGAGGAGCGTGGAACCACCTTTTAATTGTTGTCCACCCTGCAACGGAGTGGTAGCACCTCTTAGTCCCAGCTGTGGGCAAATAGTTAATTGACGTAGAAGATCCAGCAATTCTTTTCATAGTAAAGGAATTGTCAGTAAGGAAAAATATTATTAGTTATCCATTTTTACGAGCAATATATTTCTGAAAAAGAAATTACTGATGCTTCCAAGAAAATTTAAATTTTGGCATTAAATGACCCATAAGGATGTTGATATGCCGTTAAACAAACAAAACAAACATTGCTCACATGCTCAATCTATGGTATTCTTAGGATCCTTCCGTAGAACCTCCTTTTTATCGTGTCAAGTCTCTTCCTCTCTGAGGAGATTGTCCAGCATTCATTGCCGTATAAGAGGACTGATATTACATATCAGTTCAGTGGTCATTTCTTTGTTTTTAAATGTTTCGTATTTCTTAATACTTTGTCTAGCTTTGGGAAAGCATCTTTCACTGTCCAAAGATGCCGACGAATTTCGGTTACCTATACCTATTTTCGGCGCTTATAACCGTGACGTGACCTGCGCAACCATTGAGGAACGCGTTATTATGTTTGTTTTTCTTGGTTGGAGGTTCTTTTGTTGTCTGAAAGTTCAAACTATTTTTATATAGAAGTTTTAGCTGAAGAGAAACTCGTACATCTAGTTGAAGCAAGTCTTGTTTCACATATCCAATCATTTCTCCCACCCGCAAAAGTGAAGAATTCATTTTCGACAAAATGAGTCCATTTCTTTAGTTGATGGTCAGGCAGCGGCCCGATCATGTGAAGTGAGCTTTAGTTGGGCCAGTGCCAAACTGTGTTAGGCCACAATAACTCACAAGTTATTGATTAGAATCTTTGAATGATGACCGAAACCTCTACGGTTTCACTTGTTGATTTGAATTTCTTCTGTTTTTGTCTACACCACTTCTCCAATTTGTTTAGTTTTATAGCTATTCGCCATAAACTCTTCACTGTGGCACATTAATAATGTCTCTTCTGCCTTGTCTGCCCTCAAAAGCATCTGGTTTTTGTAGAAAAAATGTCTTGGTTGTCTGAATATTGTTTACCATTTGATAGATTGCATTCAGGTTGACTGACTGCATTAAAAATCGAAATTGCTTAAGTCAAGAGTAAGACGGGGAAAAAAATTACTAAACTTTCATAGAATTTTATCTCTCTTATATGGTTATATACTGATTTTATTGTTATTGCGTCCATTTTTCCCGATGTAGTGGATTCTGTTTCGTCCATTTTTTTTTATCCGATGTAGTGGATTCTGTTTCGTCCATTTTTTTCCGATGTAGTGGATTCTCAGTAATGATGGGGGGGTCTTGTTTGTTTTTTTGTTTTTTTTTGTTTGTTTTTGTTTGTTTTTTTGTTTTTTAATTGGACATACTTTTCGAGTGTGCAAACCGGTAGACAAAATAAATACGAATTGTGAGTTCAATACCTGGTTAAGGCTGTGTAGAATTTGGAGAGGGTAATTAACAAGAGATAACTGATAACTGACATCCATTAGACATGGCACGTGGAACTAGAACAGTCTACACCATCGAGCGAAATAAAGAGTTCAGTTCGACATTCCAACCACCTGAAGAAGGCCGGAGCGTACAACGACCGAAACGTTGTGATAAATATGGCAACAAAGATGAGGATAATAGTCCGAATAATATAAATAGAAGAAATAGTTTTTTTTTCTTTTTTTTTTTTTTTTTTTTTTTTTTTTTTTTTTTTTTTTTTTTTTTTTTTTCTTTTTTAAAAAAAAAAAAAAAAAGAGAACGCAGCGTCTATACAAATACACGTATCCACTAAAAATGATGTTTTGAAGGAATAAAAATATGCCAGAGTAAAAAATAAAGATCATTAATTTTATAGAAATACATATGCATATATATCTTGCATCTTTGAAGATAAAATTTTGGAAAATGCTATTTCTGTTTCTAATAATTTTAATTTCTTTCTTTCAGTCGAGTTATTAAATACCAGAAAAAAATCGTCATTATCATGGACGAAGTACCCAGACTCAGACACAGGTGATGGGGTAAGTGTGGATCATATCTCTTTAATTTTTTTGTTTTTTTGGTTCAATTTTCATATTTATGATTTGTGTGTATATATATAATGTGGGAACAATGTTGGGTAACTGAATGAAAAAAAAGGAAAAATCACTATATTTAAAAACAGCATCGAAAGCGTTGAGAAACCAAATGCAATCGGTTGGGCTGTGCGTCTAGACACATCGGACGCCACAAATTTTTAAAAAAATAGCTGTCCCTAGATCTTCACCATTACATCTCTGTGTATAATTATAACCGATGTTAACGTTTATTTTCCCCTCCCCTATATATATATATATATATATATATATATATATTCAATCAATAATATATTACTTTTGTCAGAAATCCTTTTGAAGGATGAAACGTGTTTCATAGTAATTTCTATTTTTTCATTCAGATATATAGTGTGTGTATTTTGACAGCAAGTCCTCAATTATGCAGGGTTGTCTGAAGTCCAAGAAAAGTTTGTTTATCTAATTTTTCTACGATTTAAATCATTTTTTCTATTCGAAACAAAATAATATCTGCAAACAATTAAATAAAATAAACACTTCTGTACTTGTATTATAGAACAATCTTCAAATTTTCTATGAGTTGTTGGAACTATTTACTCTATTCACATTGCTAGGACCGTTGTCCTCGTCTTTATTGCCATATTCACAATGTCTCGGCCGTTGCACCATTCGGCCTTCTTGAACAATGTAAGTAGTTTAAATAGAACAATCCTTTCAATCAACAGCAATTCATATTCAATTTATTATCGGAAACAAAAAAAATCATCCGTACTGTAAAACTTAGAAAAAAAAAATTAAACAAACAAAAAAAAAACGTTTTCTTGGTTTTCAATCAAACCTGCATAAAATATATATATATATATATATATATATATATATATATATATATATATATATATATATATAAGAATTTGGAAGATATTAATAAATTTATGTCTCGCGATTTACTTTTAACTTGATTAGAATTTTTAGGTGAATCTTAAACCGATATAGCGAAATATTCCAAATTTATTAATGTCTTCCATCTTGTTCCTTATTTAATCATTTTGTCAGAGTTAATACATATATATTGCTATTTTTAAACATGTTTTCCAGAATAATCTCGACAACTTCTGTCTATCCAATTGTTTAACCATTTTTTTTCTTTTTGCTCTCGTCCGAGCACTTTCGAATGATACTTCATTTGTTTTCAAGGATTGTGTTGTTTTGTGCATGTTTATGTAACTGTTTCTGGTTAAATCTGATGTTCGTTCCCTCGTCTGGTGGAACTGATTTCAAGGCACTCAAGGTGACGTCATTTATGAGGATTAGATTGCATTTTTACGGACGGGAATTATTTTGCACACTCACTTCAGAATACAAATGCAAACTTGTATAATCATGTCGCCTTTTATTAGTATAATTTTGACGGTTTCTCCTTGTATCATGATGGCGGCTTGTCCTTGTATCATAACGTCATCTAGAATTTTAAATCTTTCTTTTGCTTTCAGTATTATATAAGAAAACAAAATGAAATTATTTCCAGAAAATGAGGTGAACGTTGGATTTAACCAAAAACGATTACATAAACAAACAAAAAAAAAAAAAAAAAATGAAATCTTCGAAAACGAATGTAGTAATATTCGAAAGTATCCGGACATATAACAAAAAATAAAAATTAACTTTAGTAAATTTACCGATTATATAAAACGTGTAATTCGAAAACTTGAAAAAGTTTAAAAAAAAAAAAAAAATTGTTACAGAATTGGTCAATATTATTCAACAAAACACGTTTGAAAGAATTATTGCTGTCTAAATACATTTATATAAATGTGTGTGTTTGCATATATATATATATATATATATATAACACGCACACAAACACATAAGCGGCGTTTTGAATAAATTCAATGTCTTATATGTATAACATCCTTATTCTATCAATGCACATATCGTAATCCTCATCTTCACTATAAATGTATGTACCCGTTTATGAATAAGCAAAAAGAAAAAAAAATACACAAACCTTCAAGATTTGCATATTTTCCCGGCATACACCAGTGCATGTACATATATACCTACACATGCTTTCAGAGACACACCTTCCAATGATGCATGCAAACACTTACCTACACATGTCTGCATACATGACTTGACACTCTCTGAAATAAGGATCATTTCCTCTGCTTCCGTCTCTGTTTATTCCGCTGCCCCCTTCCACTGTCATAAAATGCATCCCGGACATCCTCTGCACACATACACCTTACTGTTTCCCTGTTTACATACGCACACACAGTCCATTGAATCTTCACCCTTTCACTGTCACATAACGTCAAGTAACCAACAGGTTTAATTTAAACCACCAATGATTTAATTGTATATAGTTCAAAAGCCATGTTTGCTGGCCTATATGATGCCGGAGTTCTTGGGCAATACGTTTCATTATAACTTATCGAAGCGAGATCGATAGAGATCTCCTTTTGAAGTTCACTTTAACAGTCATGCGTAGACATCTTCATACGCGTGTACTAATACGTGGAGTAATGGATAGCGGCTCGGACAGAGGAATCGGAGAGCCGAGTTCGAATTCCAGTCAAATCCATTACATTCACTTATGTGTTAATACCCTTGTGAAAGGTATGAATCCTCTTCTTCTCCTCCCAGCTTTGGATAAATATCAGACAGACTTGGATGGCAACTGGTCTACCGCAGAAAGAAATGGCAACCTACTGCGGGGAAAAAACATCTGCCTCGTCTGTCATGTATCGAAAGCCCGTTTCACGCATGGCGCATACGAATATGACTACGTAATTTTTTTTTCTTGTTTATAACTCTGAAAAGTTCTATTCAACCAGGAAGATTGTCTGGCACGCAAGAAAAGATAAGTTATTGACCAATTTGCAAATTTGTACTATTCGAAAGATGTCAGTGACTGCGCAACAACAAAGTCTCCATCATTTGTGAACAACAGTATAAACTTACTGGCATTGTCCAAACTGTTTATCACTAGGGCAGACAGAATTTTTCACTTCATTATTTTAGAAAATGAACATTGCACGCGAAGTAAAAGCTGGGAGTTGATGGGATAAGTATTGACACTAAACATTAACTTCATAGCAACTAAAAATGTTTGAGCATTTAGTTTTAAAAAATCGTCTGATAAAATGAACTGAAATGCCTAATTTCTGCAGAATTTTGTTTTGAAATTGACTTCAATTTTTTACTATTTGCAAGAATACAAGTAAATTTTATATCTTTTTGCATTAGATACATTGAATAGAAAATATATCCAAACCAGAATTCTAATTATGAATCACCACAAGCAAAATATTCAGTTTTTACTGTATTTGACAAATAAATAAAAAAAAAAATTACAAAAATGGCTACTCGATGAATAAGACTTCTTAGATAATTTGATAGATCATAATTAATAAAAGCAAAAAAATAGATAATACTGAAGAAAAATGTTTTAAATTTGCATTGTTTATTAAAACTGCTGCACTGTATAACATATATTACATCATAATATAGCTAAACTGTTCAGTATAACGTCCCTTTGAAGTAAGTGACGGTCTTATTTGATGGTTTGTGCCATGCATCTTGTCCATATAGAATTTGTAAAGCTACAGTAAATTATAAATTTTGTAGGCTAGGCTTTAAATACTTTCGCTGATCACCGGAAATAAATTCCAACGCTCCAATTTTGAACTTTAAACTTTTGAATCTTTAAACTTATTCGGTAAGTAAAAGATATGTAAGTTTTTTAAAAGATTACAAAAAACGTCTACTCAATGAATAAGAATAATTAATAAAAACAAAAATTAGATACAAGACCATCATATTACTGGTCACACATTTTAAGAAAAATGTTTTAAATTTGCATTGTTTATTGAAAATCGCACTAAAACTGTATAACATATTATTCGTGAAATAGCTAAATTGCTCAGTATAATTTTCTTTTGAAGTAAATGAAGGTCTTATTTGATGGCACAATAATTTAGTAATAACGGGCTTGTGCTTTGTCCATGTACAATTTGTGAAGGTTCAGTAAGTTATAAATTTTTACAAAGCTGTGTTATAAGGAATGAAATTATAACGCTACCATTTTTAACCTAGACGTAATCTTTAAAGGAGTTACCTTAAAAAAAAGGGTAACGATTTGTAAAAAAATAAATAAAAATAAAAAACAGTCTTTATTTATCATGTCAATTTTCAGCTTTCAAATCGAGTGCAATACCAGACTTCCAAACTCAACATGCCCTGTTGATCAGGTGATGAGCTCCCTCCCACAGAAAGTGTAAATAAGTTCCGTTCCGTATGGCTCTGTGGGTATTGAACAAACACAAATAAGCCTGAACAAATGTCTGCAATAAGGACTGGTTGGCCGCCCTAGCAGACAACCAGTTTCTTAAACGAACCTCCAGTTTACTCAACTCGGGTACTGTGACCAACTCAAATAGTTTACCTTTCAAAGTACGGTGCTTGACTACTATTTATTTATTTTTTTCTAATTTTCTTTTTCCTGATGTGAAAGCAGGATTTGTTCGTTGCTAGCCAGATGATTCAGCTCTTTTATTTCCATCCCATAAAAATAAACAATAAAAAAAAACTACCAGATATAGCCCTCTGCTATCAGAGCACCTCACTTCAACATGTGTGATAAGTGGCAGGTTGAAACAGTAACAGTAAGATCTGTGACAGTTCCTCTCACACTTTGACCACCTTTCGCACTCCCTCCCACAACCTTTTCTTCTCTCTTGCCATTTTTTAAAAATTTCTGTTAAAAATACTGCTTTTCTCTCTCTTTCTCTTGCTGATAAGCTTAAAGGCACTTTCAAATGTCTTCTTCCTAACACTCACATACGAGGAACAGAAAGAGACCAGCGTAGCAAGTACGGAACCTTCACTTCAAAACACAGCAAAGGCCATTCAAGTGTTACTGGTACCATGAGTGTCAACCACCATCAATCAAAACCATTATACACTCA